ACATATTATAAGATTAGGTAACATAAAAATTTATCAACTAAAAGAAAAATTACATTGTATGAAATAGGTTAATGTCCTTAAGATATTTGATCGTATTGGATAAGTTACAGTTTAATATATTTTTAAGTTGACCTGGTTCTTCAGAAATGTTGTTGGTGCTTCGTTCATATGAGTAAAGTGGACAGTCTGTAAGTATATGTTGGACTGTTTTTTGGCATTCTGGTGGTAGCGGCTTCGTTAATAAGTATTGATAGGTTAATGTTGTATGACCAATTCTTTGGCGATTTATAACCAAATGTTCTCTTCTTTTTTCTGGAAGTTGGAGCCGGACACCGATATAGGTTTAATTACTTTAAAATTTGAGTTATTTGAATCCCAGCATCGCTGCCAAACTTCTGTACAGTATTGTTTGATATTAAGGTAGATATCTGTGACTGGAATGTGTTTGATAATATCGATGCTTTCATTTGAGGTTGCTTTAACCGCTAAGGCGTCAACCTTTTCATTACCTGAAATACCTATATGTGATGGTATCCAGAGAAAGTGAATGTTTACATTTTTGTTTTGTAAGTAATGAAGCATAGATTTTATGTTTTGGATGACTTTATGTGTTGGATAGACTTGTTTGATGCTTTGGAGTACTGATAATGAATCTGAGACAAAGAGAAGGTTAGTATCTGTATATTTTTGACAAAATTCAAGTGCTTTTAAAATTGCAATAGCTTCACCAGTAAATACACTGCAAAAAGTAGGTATTCGTATAGCATATTCGATATCATATGTTAAAAAGGCTGCGGCACAGCCATTTTTGGTTTTTGATGCGTCGGTGAAAATCTTAACATAATTGTCATATTCTGATAGAATTTCTTTATAATGTACGAACGAGGGTAAGATTTGTGGTATTCTTTGGGTAAGCTACTAGAGATGTATTAATAGTAGAAGCATTCATTGTCCAGGGGGTTCAGTTGGGTATGTAGATAGCGAGTATGTCAACAGATTGGTATTATATCCACAATTCATTACAAGTTCTTTAAAGGTTAAATATCTTAATTGTCTGTTACTTTTGTGAGGGGTGTTATTTGTATGTAGGAGTAGGTAGTTAGGGTTGTTAATATTGCTATATAGTTTAGCAGCAAATCTTAGTGTGGTATATTGTCTTCTTATAAACAAAGGTGGTTCATTTAGCGCAGCCTGAAGGCTTGCCACCGGACTAGTACGGATGGCACCCAGCGCAAGTCTCAAAGATGCACTTTGGATAACGTCTAAGACTTTAATAAGAATTTTTTTACTAGCAGTAGAATAGCACATTGCACCGTAATCTAATTTACTACGGATGAGTGATTTATATAAATATAGCAGAGTAGTTGTATCAGCACCCCAATTTCCATATTTCCAGTTTGTGAAGAAATGCCTGAAGGATTTTTGTCGCGAGAGAGATATTACAAATTCTAGTGTAAACTATTAGATCGTCAGCATAGAAATTTGCTTTTAATGGTAACTCTTTCTTGTGCAATATTATTAATAGCTAATAAGAAAAGTGTAGGGCTTAGAGTGGAACCTTGTGGAATTTCATTTTGTAAGTGCTCAGTCTTTAAATTGATGCCATTAACACAAACTTAAATTGTTCTGTTACTCATAAAATTTTCAACAAAGGCTAGAAAGTTCCCTTGTATGCCGCAGCTAACCATTATTTTTAGAATGCGATGTCGCCATGCAGTATCAAAGGCTTTTTTTATATTAAAAAATATGGAAATTACTTGTTGATTGTTTCTAAAAAATTCACATATATCATTTACGAAAGATATTAGATTGTCATTTGTCGATCTTTCCTTTCTAAATCCATTTTGGATGGAGGTCAGTAGTTGGTTTTTCTCTAGAAACCAAAATAATCTATTATTTAAGATTTTTTCAAGTAATTTACAAATATTATTCGTAAGAGAAATTGGTCGGTAAGAAGAGGGGTCAGTTTTTGTTTTATATGGTTTTAAAATGGGGATCATTATAGATTGACACCAGATTCTAGAAAAGGTTTTTTTTAATGAATATCTGATTAAATATATCTAGAAGGATTAGTTTACCTGAGAGTGGGAGGTTTTTTATAAAAATAATTGGAATATCATCAGGGCCTGGAGAAGTATTTTTTGATTTTTGCAAAGCCTCTTCAAACTCTTGGTATGTGATAGGCAAATTTAATTGATCATTATTGTCTATTATTCGGATAATTTTCTTTTCCATTCTCACATTTAAAATTTAAAAATTCAGGGTTAAAATTTGTATTGCTATAATTTGTTTTATATACTTTTGCCAGTGTATTACAGATTTCTTGTTTAAATGTTATTAAATTATTACCATTACGCAAGGTACTGATTTGAGTTGGATTATGTTCTCCTTTTAGTGTTCGTACCTTGTTCCATATATAACTGGCATCGGAGTTGATGAAGTAATCGATGAAACATATCGCATCCAGGTTTCTTTTTTTACTTTTTTAAATCAGATATTTAGTTTTACCTCTCAAACTTTTAAAATTAAGAAGATTCTCAGAAGTTTTATATTTTTTTTAGAATATTAAATGCATTCTTGCTAGCTTTCATAGCAGCAGCTATCTCTTGGTTCCACCATGGAACCGGTTTTCTTTTACATCATTTGTTTTTTCCTATGGATATATTAGCAGCTTTTATAATGATATCATTAAAATATTGTATGTTAGTATCTATATTTTCTTCTGGAGTATAGTCCAAGATGTAGTTGAATACAAGATGTTGATATAGTTCGCATTTGGCGGAATCTACTTTCCATTTTTGATAGATAGGGGTGTTTGGTGTGTCGGTTATAGTGGTTTCCATTATTATAGTATAGTGATCACTATTATAAAGATAATCTAGACTATTCTAAACGAAGGAGGTTGATAATCGACCATTTTTATCTGTTTTGTTGCTACCCCGCGCGATATTGTGACAATTCATATTACTATTAATTTGGAATTAGGAATTTGATTAATTAGATACTGGAGATCTTTTATTGTGGTTTCGTTAGGATGAGGTAGATAAATATTGCAAATATTGATGTTTTTGCAGTTGATATTGCATGGCACTGATACAGCTACAGCTTCTAGATTAGTATGTAGCTTAATTTCTTTGGTCTGAATGTGATTTTTACAAAAATACCAACACCTCCACTAGCATATGTTGCGTCTCGATTTTTAAGGAAATGGGAATAATTTTTTATATTCAAGTTATTAGTTTTAAGGTGAGTTTCCTGTAAGAAGTATAAGAGGAGAAATGTATAAGAGGAGAAAGACCGTTTATAAGTAGATTAAGGGATTCTAAATTATTAAAATAACCATTAAGATTCCACTGTAACGTGAATGTATTATCCATTTTATTTTATAACGTATGAAATAATGAATCGGTAACTGAGAATTGTATCTTTTTTCGAAGTCTTGTTAGTTTATTTTTTATTTTGCGATCAGGAATATGGTCGTGGGCAATAGAAGTATCTCTTTAAAAGAAACTATATCGGTTGTGTATAATAATTGTATATAATAATATCCTACTCCCATAATTTTCTACTATGGGGGTAGGATATTTTGAGTTTAATGCGTTACATATTGCGTCGCAAAGAACTGTAAATTTAAGAGGATATGTCGGGTATTTAGATTCGATTTTACCTTTAATAGATTCAAGTGATTCGAGGATATCAATGGTGATGATTTGGCCGCTTAACCGATTTTTGGGTTTGGTAAAAATTGTTGGATCGAGTGGCGTTTCATGTATCTCAGGAGAGTCAGTAGATATTTTGTCTCTTTGTTTTTTGATGGGAGGCATCAGTGTTCAAAGTAATAGGATTGTTATTTTTAGTCGTTTCGTTATGAATATCTTCTGCTGTTATTTGCAAGTTAAAGGAAATAGGATTTCCTGCTTCTGTTGTAAGGTTTTAAGGTTTAGACGGGAGTGATATTGTAGATTCAGATTCAATGGGCGTTTCAGTTGATGTCAATTGTGATAGAACAGGGCAGTCTGTTTCGCGATGACCTTTTGACATACACTTAGGGCAATTTAAGTCAGTGGATAGATAAATTCGATAGTTGATGTTGTCGAAAGATGTAATCAAATCTGGGATAGTGATATTTTCAATAGGAGTGATAAAAATTTGTCTTCGAAAGCTTAAAACGTGGTTATAGGCAGTTTCCGGCATTCCAACTCGCAGAAAAGTCATCTGGGATACAGTATTAAGTCCTAATTTTTCAGCTCAACTTCAAGTATTGAGTTTGGTATGGTGGGACAAACATTTGAGATGACCAGTCTTGTAGCAGGAGCAATTAGACGTCTTACTTCAACTACTGAATCATTGATGATATTGATGTATGTGTCTTCAGCAATGTGTTGACGACTTCGGTATTGGAGAGGTAAATACAAAATCTGTTATTCGAGATGCGGGATGCAAATAATATATTTTCTGGTTTTACTGTTTTTGGTTGGATATTCAAATGAAGTAACAGCGTTGGAATATGAACATTGTTGATTGTTGTTAGGAGAAGAAACAGAACCAACAGAATCTTCATTAAGTTTTAAAAATATTGTTCATATTTTAGCCCCTCTATTCTTCAGACGGTCCTGTTTCCATAAGAACAGAATCGGAAATGAATTACCAAAAGTTGTGTAGATAAATCCGGTACCAGGAACTTGGTTTGATATAAGTATCTCTAAATATAATAAATACTACTTACAGTTTTTCTCCAAATAGTTCAAATTTATTTTTATAATAACACTACACTTTATTGTAATTTTATCAACTGGATACAAATAATATCGCAAAAAACCAGGTGGAATTAGACTAGATATTAAACACGTCTGTTAACGACAAAGGTTCGACGTGGAATCCAAAATAAATAGTTAATTTTTTTATACTTACTCTAAGAACTTTAAGCGCTTCCTCACAAACTTGCATCCCCCTAGAATCGAAAACCTCTACACAACCTAAATATTTTACAGCAAACGTACATGTACCAGATCGAACGGCTGTTTCATCAGCTTGCCACTGGTGAGGTTTGGAACTCTCTGGGATCCGGTCCTTCCGTTTCCGGAAGGAATCCCTGAAAGATCGCCGTAGTCGATCCATTTTGCGGGGAGAGCGCAGGCTCCGCCTCTGAAAAAAAAAGAGCAAATTTTAAAACCAAATTTTATACAATTCAATTTCAAAAACATAATTAATTATATGAATTTGCCACAAAACAAAAGTTATAAACTTTTGATTTTTAAAATTTCTTTTTAACAAATTTCAGCTAAAAAAGTACGCGAGTCCCGAGTCAATGAAAACACAGTGAAAATGATCAAACTTTAATTGTTCAAAAATAAGTAGTTTTGGCATTGTTGGATTCAGAACCTGTCAATTCACAATTTACTTAAATTTTAAGTTTCGACTTCAGTGAAACCAGAGTACATACATTTACCATAACAGTATACATAGGTATACAGTGCTGAGTGTCTTACCACCCGGCTTTTTAACGTAAGAGATAGAAAACACAGTTACCTTTGAAATAAAAAGAGATGAAACTCGTAGAGGTGGGAAATAATCGATAGAAACCTATAATTTACATTACATTGCATTACCACCATCGACACCATGACTAACAGAGAGAATCTATGCCACGAATGTCAGGGTACGGCCCGAGCGCCCGTCCTGTCATAACCGTCTCATTAACAAGTAAAAAACAATGTTTTAAAATTAAATACGCCCAAAATACTTATCAGGAAATGGTTGAACTTAAATTTTGGTTTTTGGTGAATTCAAAAATAATATTTTTTAGTTGTTTTTTTTTTGAGACTTGAAAATCGCAATTTCGTGTTTTTTCACTTTTAAATTGTTTATCGAAAAACGATTTAGTTTGCAGAAAAATTACAAGAGACCTCTTTTGTTCAGAGTTGTCAAAACAATTTGAAAAAAATTTCTGTGTCGAACAAATCAATTGCTACAATCTTAAAAAAAAATTGTTTAAAAAATTTGAAGAACTTTTGATTGTTTTTGTTTGACATATACACATATGTCTAAAAATAAAAGTTGGAATATTGGAATATTTCATCTTTTTATTGATTTTTATGTATAAATTCTTCTGAATAGTTAAACATCATTTTGCTTCAATTCTCAACAATATTAAATAAATTAAACTTATATCGAAATTGGGTAGGCTCAATGTAGCGAGAATGCATGACTCACAATGAAACCAGTAAAGGAAGATCACCTACACGTTGGGCTGACGAAATCAGGCATATCACGAAAAATTGGCAACAAAGAGCACAAAATCGCAAAGAATGGAGGAGTTTAAGGGAGGCCTATGTCCAGCAGTGGACGTGATAAATGAAGGCTGGACGATGACTAAATAAATCTCAAAACCAGATAAACAATATACAAAAAGTTATTTATTCTCTTGGAGTGAAAAACGTACAATGTACAACTTACATTTAAATATTACTAATATAAATTAGTATATTATAGTATAGTATATTACTAATATAAATTAAATATAAATTAGTATAGAAACAAATACTTTTTAATAAAACTAATAATTAGTATTTCCTCCATTGGCCCCTAGGCGATTTGGCATGCTGCCGATGAACTGGTCGAGCTGTCGGAATTCTCTCCCATTCTTCACGAGCAGCATCTTTTAGTTCTCGGAAGTGTAATAGGGGGATTGTGTCGCGTCTTGATGCGTGTTATGAGAATGTCCCAGGCATGTTCAATAACGTTCATGTCGGATGAATTCGAGGGCCACTGTAATGTAGAATTTCCTTCTTCCAGAAAATTTTGTACTGCTGCTGTTCGATGTGACTGCCCCTCGGAATAGACGTACGACATGATTTAAAGCTACCTCGATGTACACAGCACCAGTGGCTCTCACTCCAGAGCCAGCAGTGGCGTCCCTGTAGCACTCATAATACCACTCCAAACCCTAATACTGCCACCTTCAAATGGGACACGCGGTTGGGCTGTTTTAGTCGGGCTTGTCGTCCTGGGTCCCTGTCGCCCTTCAAACCAGTGTTCTTCGTGAATCAGATACCAAGCCAAATTTTGACTTATCAGAGAACATCACGTTATTTCAGTTAGGACCATTTCTTTAGCCCATTGCAACCTTACTATTTTGTGTTGGTAGGTTAGTTTAGGAACACGTAGCGATCTTCTACGATAAAAATTTACCGCATTTAGTCTGTGTGTTATTGTTTGCCGTGAAATATTCAGTTTTTGAAGCCTAGAAATTTCTCTGGATATACTACTTGTAGATTCCAGACGATTTCTACGAGGTATCAATGTTATTTGCCGGTCTTGTGATGCTGTTGTACATCTACTTCTACCACTTATGGGACGATCCTTGACGTCATTTGTATCTTGAAACTTTTTTTAATTAATCAACAATATTCGCGAAGAGAAACTCTACATCTATCAAAATGAGATATCACGTTTCTAAGCATTTTTAAACGGCTCAATTCAAATTTAAACAAAGACTGAAATAATAAATACGCTAATCAGTTGAATGTGACCAAAATCATACAAAAGCTATTCAAATTTTTTATCATTTTTAGTTAAAAACGCTCTATAATGAATATCAACAACAGTTTTAAAATAACCATAGGCGTAGATATATTATTTGTACGTATTCCAAACTTTTGGACTGGTGTGTAGACTAAGGTAACTTAAAATATTAGTTTTTATTCCAATACGTCTAAAATTTAGTAATGTCAACGATGTTAATATGGAACTATTCTATTATCCTTCTATGAAGGCGCTTACCACTAAGGAAAGAGTCCAAAAGTAATTGCTGTTCTCGTAAAGAATATATTTAAAACGATCGATCATTTTTGTTGAAAATGGACATCCATGTATAAAATAGCTCAGCTAAGTTCGTAAATGTAATAACTAAATTTTTAGCCAGTAATGGCTAAAATTTAATTGTTTTTCTATAAAGAAAAATATCGAATTATTAAGAATATTATGAAAGCAACAAAAACCTAGTTACATACCAAAAAATTGTTTTTATTAATTATGTCTCATGCACGAATATATTAATAAATATTTTTTAAAACACTTTAGTTGGTAGCAAATACATTTATTTATATTTAGGAAATCAACAATCAAAATAAAATAAAAAATGTCAAAATAAAAAAAAATCAGAATAAAAAAAGAAGTGAATAATCTTCACGTTTCCGAGGAACATGCTCATCAGATAATGTAGAGATGAATATTTGTGCCATTCAAAAGAATGATATAATGTGCACGTGTACCTTAAATTTAGGAAATAAAAATATTAAAAACAGTTCTAGACAAACACTAATCATAGTGTTGTAATATAAGTAATAAAATAAAGTTGTAATATAGTAGTGTGTAATAATAAAATAGCACAAATGATAAACTTCTGAAAAAACCGTTACTAAAACTTAAGCTTAAAATACATGCGTAAATCCATCGTTACGGTTATAATATATTAATAATCACTTACTATGGCAAAGAAATAGCAACACAAGCATGTAACGTAAACTCATAATTTCTACCGTGACATTGTATATCAAAATCTGTGTCTCGACCTATTTTTAGTCTAATAATAAATCCAATGAAATATTTAAAGCAATTGTAGCAATCAAGTACACAAGTCCTAAGAGACTTACGCCCACCGTATTGTTGTACGCTAATAAATAACGCAATCCACTTTGTTGTTATTATTAAGATTGACAAATAGGTTGATGTATCATTTTGTAGTACATAATAAACAATTAGTCTTCATTTTAATGGACATAGAGCATTTATTGTCTTTAATCTTTAGCGAGTCTAACAAAGAGGACACTATTTTATTAGATAATAATTTCGCTGCAGAATGTCATCACATGCATGATTTATTTGAAAGATATCTAGTAATTCTAGTATTCATGCTAAAATCTGTAACGGTATATAAAAATATTTAAGATATCATAAAAAAATTTAAATTGATATGCTGACACAAAAACTGATTGGAGTATTTATTTTATTTTTGAAAATTTTAGCATACGGGCTACTGGTGCCGTAAGGGTGTTAATTTATGACCTAAACGTGTAATGTTAATAGGTCAGTGTCTGTGATTTTCTCCTTCATGCCACTTAAAAATTTATTAAACTTCACGATAAGGAACCTGCAAAAAAAAGGCATAACAGCAAGTCGTGAAAACGAAAAATTTTAACTTGCGGAAGATAAGGAAAATTTGATTTTCAAAAAAACAAATCCGATTTAACTCTAAATTGTCTTTTCTTCTTGCTTATCTCATATGACATTTTCAATACACAAAAGGGCATATGGGATAAACTCATGGTTGAAGTTCGTATTGAAATCCAACGGTCTATAAAAATTATACAAAGTAACACTAAGCAATATGAAGCTTAATAGTTTCATTACTATAACAGCTATTGTATTAACACTTACTCCACTAGGTTGTGAGATATTATTGTGGAGAATAAAGTCAAATCGAATATACAACGGACTGAATGAAGTAGATAGGGTGAGTAAAATACTAAAATATAAAGTTTTCGATCTAAATCAGAATATTGACCGAATACCTATTACGAGTAATTGACTACTTATATTGGTAGTGGTTGTATCAAACTATCCTTGATGTTATCCCTATAAAGCATCTCCAATTAGATATTTCCACATATTTACGTTTAGCAGTGTAAAGATAAAAAAATTTGCGACAGTTTATTCAAGGATGCTTATATTATATGAAGGTTGGGGTTACTATTTTACATTTTGTATTACCTTCTGTATTATAGAGGTAATGGATTTTAACAAGAGCTATGAGTCATGCCGATTTAGTACACAAGTTTACCTGTTATTTACAAGGTCACAGCTCTTGTCAAAATCCATTACCTTTACCTGTTTTAGGTAATAAATCACATTCAAATTATATATACCGTTATAAGCACTCTTGCATAAATTGTTTAAAATAATTTGGTATATACTGTACTTCGTTATAATGCTTTATAAGTGTTTCTCACTAAGATTTCTGGACTTCTCTCCTACTCCTCCCCGAAACTTGACATTTAAGGACTTCGATTAATGACATTTGGTGATTATCATTTCGACGTTGAACCTCTTCCAACTTCCAACTTCTCTACAATCTGTAGTTTAATTACATATAATTACAATATAATTGAATAGGATTGTCAGAGAATGTAGTAATAGGGGCCACACCGTTTTCTATTGGTGGACAGGGGAAGTGTAACAGGCTCGAGAACTCGAGTGAAAAATAGGTGCATTTTAGCTAGGAGGAAGTTTACGAAGGAGATATGAACTTCTCAAAAATCTTAATGACATGTGGGGGACGGTTGTAATTTTCTTGTAAAATTTTTACAGATCACTAGCTCGTATGAACTACCGATATCGACTAAGCTAGAAATCGTTCGTGAACTCTTCCCAGGTAGGCCTTTATCGTAACACCATATCAAGCCCGAATCCGGCATCCCTGAATTTACTAGGGAAGAACTTCTGCCTGCGGTAGAACATGTCAAGGTAGGTAAAGCACCTGGCCCAGATGATATCCCGCCAGATTGGTTAAGATGTTTGCTCTGTCTCACGGAAATACTACGCGCAGGTTTATGAACCATACGCTTCGAAGTTCGATACACAAGATTAAGTAAAAATGGAAAACCTAGGGAAGATCCAAGGACCTGCAGACTCATCAGTCTCTTAAACTGCATATCAAACGCCCACATTAAAAATGACACTGTTGTTAAAAAACTTGGGGATGAAAATCTTAAGATTCATAATAAATTTTGTGACTCAGTATCTTCAGAAGAGATGAGTTGGATATAAGTGGAGTAGATCACCAGGTATGTGCGGGCTTGCCACAAGGCTCCGTGATTGAATTAACTGACTGACCATCATTTACTTTAATTCTCCACCTCCTTAGCCAAATTTTTATTCTATCAAGTTTGGACAGATGCTGTTGGGAAGCAGCATTACATTCGGAAAATACATTACACGAACCTTTATATCTTTCGCAATATCGCACAACAAACAAACAAAATTATAATAGGGAAAATAAATAAATGGTCAAAATAAATAAAACACCAACATCTAGAGCAAACGATTTCTCCGGTCAAATGTGTGGCAGAAGTGTGGTCAAATTTCAAGACTGAAATATATGAAAATATTTTTTTTATTTGCAGTATTATTTTAACATTAACCTCAAATAGTTAAAAATAAAGCTTAAGTATAAAACCGTCTACAGAGGTTTGTATGTGTTTGTGTAGGCATGTTGACCGACAAAAATGGTTGTACCCGATGATTGGGCCGACCAATTTGGTTGAACAGAGATATCCTGACAGCCGACTTGCCCATACCCAACAAGCCTACACACGTTGTCGGGCCCAACTTTATCGGTCACGACAGTTGGTTGGTTTAGTACCACCCTAATCATTTAAACCTCAACCAAGTGTTTAGTTTATTCGTTCAAAAAATACTCATTATTCACAATTCAATTATATGAATAAGTTTATGGAATTTTATGATATGTTGTATAAATTTATTATTTTATTAATAAGATTTTAAAGAATATAAAATAAAATAAAAAACAGAATTCGACATTAACTTCCTCATTTCCGTCATCATTCTCTTTCCCTTTACCCCTATGCGGAGTCGGCCTCGCGAATCAATTTTTTCCATGTTAACGCCATCCCTAGACTCCCTCTAATATAAGCATTCTTAATTTTATTCATTTTGTCACTTCAGTCATGCTTTCAAGCATTCAAGCTTTTAAGCATACATTCGTTGTTTCCCGTTCTTTTTAACTGGTCAAAATTCAGTTCCGTTCATTATAGCTGGTCTCACAACTGTTTTATAGAATTTTCCCTTCAGCTTCATTGGAATTTACATCCTTAGATATATGTATGTATATAATTTCTTGTTATACGCATTAGAATACAGCAAGAATATTAAATTTTTCATTTGTACTTTTTATATCCATTACAAGTTAAAAGTCTTCTCTGGTAGAACTAATAAAAGATCCTGTAGATTAAACGTCCTTAGTCAGGTAACAGCATTGTCATTAACTAGTGAGGCAAGTTGCTGTAATTTCCTATTCTGACTTTCGATAATGGCACCTTGAAAGTTTAATCTGTTTATTCATAGACATACCTGCATACTTCAAGCAGTGGCGCCAACCAGAATATGGAATTATAAGTTAAATAACAAAAATTTAAAAATAATTGTTCAATTTTTGATAGGATGTCTCATTCTTTCCTTATGACGAATTGTAATAATACATAGTCATGTTTATTCAGTCGTTCTAGCAATTACGGTGTTCATGTCCATTTTGTTCATTACATTGGTCTAACGTTAAATTACATGTACATAATTATATTGCTGAGTAAATAAAAACTAAACAAACAAATGTTATGGTTATTCGCCAAAGAACAAATAAAACAGTAAGAGAGACTAAAAGACACCAAAACGTCTTACCAAAATTCTTGATCCTTCTTGTTTTTAGTTAAAATTGCTTTTGTATCTTCATGCACGTGCCCTCTTTGTCATTCCACCATATCGTTAGAGGATGACCAACGCTCCAATATCTTACTGGTGATTTATCTCACTACTAACGATTCTCACTACTCTTCTTTCTACGACTAGGTAAACTCGTTCATTCCACGTTTTTTTTATCCTACTAAAGTTTGAACAAATCCACTTTGTATTTGTGATTTGGATGCGCAGTGATATTGACCTTCGGTAAACACAAATCTGCACCGAGTGTACATTCGTTTTCTATCTCGCTTATGAGTTCCACGGTTTCCGTACACTTCGTGCTCATTTCAAATACAAAGTGAATTTGGTCAGACTGTGCCCAGTTATTTCTTCGGCTTGCATGTGAGTCCCACACTTTCGATTCTTTCTGTTTAGAAGTGTGTCTTGAGCTATACTACGAAATATCTTAATTTCTATTGTTTCTACAGAAATCGTCATCTAGTAAGATCCAACGCCGCTCATCTTTACTTCTTCTTCTCATCTAGTATCTTTAAGAAGGTTATGACAGACACAACGAAGTATTGTGTTGTTAATGGACTTAACACCGATCAGGTAGGACCAATACAAAAATGAAAATCAATGTTGGTTCTTCTTAGCTGGAGAATACAAAATACCATATAAATACCTACTTTTACTCTTTCGTATCCGGATTTTCAAAATTTTTGATCACTTTAAGTTTGCGCCACCGACAAGTGGTGTAGTTGACAGGTGGACCGTTTGGAGCCTTCGAGGAATCTAATACGGAATTTTAATTTAATGAAAAATGGAATAGCTTTTGCATCGAAAAGAGGTTGGCGTTCATCAATTTCTATTTGTTCCATGTCCTCAATTTGTGTGCTTTTCTGTTACAGTTGCAACTAACAACACTAGAGATGTTGTTCTGGGCTTCATTCAGCCTTATGTTGGTCTGCATGTTTCGGTTAGAAAGGATCGACTTTTTTTAATGGATTGACCTGGATTAAACCGGGTAAGCGTACTCCGTCGTAGAGTAGCAGAACGTGAGGGGCAGTGGTTCTCAAGAAACATTTATTTATTTCAGTTATAAAAATAAACAAAACAGACCAATAAGCCATGGAAAGAAAACTTTACCATACTTACAAATCTGGCAGCAGTTTTAGTGAATTGGGAAACAAGGGATATAAAATTCTCGAAGCTATACCTAAGTTGAAATATAGCACTAAACAAGATCGCCATTAAATATGTTCGTCTTAATCTTAAGATAAAATAGTTATTAAAGTTATAGGTAAGCAATAATAAATTTATCTACCGCTAAAATGAATCAAAGCAATAAACGGCCATTGCAATAACTAAAATAATTCTTCAACAAAATTTAGAAAGACTAAATATAATGACCATATGATCCTAACTTTGAGAAACTCTTCCAAGGAACAATATCCAAAAACAAAAAATGTGCTAAGCAACTTTATCTTCTTCTAGAGTACCGTCTCCCTACGGAAGTTGGCATAATGGCATTTTTTTTATAGCAACTTTATATTACGCAATAAAACTTTAATGGAATCCTAAAACATCAACAAAAATGTGTCTCAATTCTGCTATTTATCATCACAAAAACCAAAAGAGACAGATACCCAAAACGTAACCAAAAGACAGATCTAACAAACACAAAACAAAGATGGCGCAGAGTTTAGATAGCAAAACCCGGAATGCTGCAGTTAAGACCAACTTGAATAATACTTCTCAACTCATCTTAAACGAGAAATTAAACGCATAAAACAAGATTCTCTAAACGAGTACCTTAGTATATTCTAACTATTAAGAAGGCTACCGATTACTTGTTCTGCAAAGTTAACAAAAACTCAAAAAGCCTATTAATAATAGCGATAGAAGTGTTCCCGAAATAATGAACAATAAGTTAACATATTTGTAGATCCTCTGAAAACATTTTCCACCAAATTACCTAGAAGAAATTGATGAACAAGTTAAAGCAAATGTTAAGAGATGAAAAATTAAATCGGTTACCCTTAAAGAAGTAGAATTTGAAATAAACTAGAATGTGAACCCGAAAAAACATTAATCTCAACATATCATAATTATTATTTCGTCATTTAGACTTAAATATGTTCGAACATTATGGAAAACAGAAGTAGTCATGATAGCATAGCCGAAAAAATCGCAGAACGAGGTATCATGAAAAGCTTTATTAAAAGTTGTTGTTAAAAAGCAGAATAGAAACAAGAAATCTAATATCGGAACACAATCTTGGATTTAGAGAAAGCAATTCAACTATTGAGCAAGTGCATAGAATCGCTAGCATCATAGAATATGACCTACTATCTTCTTAGATGTGGCTAAGGCATTTAATATAGTTTGGCACAAAGAATCAATACAATAACTTATATCCTGCCTCTCGAAACACTCCTCTTAGCTATTGGAGATAGATATATCAGTGTTTCAGAATAAAGCAGAAGGAAGCATATTCTGATTTTAAAGAGGTTAGAGCTGGAAGAAAGTGTCGTGGCACCAATTTTATATCTACTATACAGAAACAATATTCTTGAATTACGTCAAAATACAAAAACGGTAGAAGATTCAAAAGTAATTGACTGCAGCAATAAAACGAGTCATTATGTTCCAGTCAAAATTAATTATGTTAAAATTCCGTACGAAAACACAGCAAAATATGTGAGCATCACTCTCGATACAAAACTTCGGTGGAAGGAACATGTGAAAAGAAAAGACAAGCAATTGGAATAAAACGCAAGAAAATGCACTACAAAAAAATTAATCGAAATAATTTAGGAAGAGGTAGTAAGCATTACTACATTAATATTACAAAAACAAGCGACAGAAAAAATCGGCCTAACTACAGAAGAGTATCACTGATTAAAACAATATCGAAAATATTTTCGAAAATAATAACCGAAGAAGGAAAATGATCCCTATAAGCGAAGAACAACAAGGATTTCGAAAGACTAGATCGATAAATTGTGAAGACATTAGGATATATAGTACAAGAAACTAGACAGGATCGAGTAAGAAACGAAGATATCATGCAACAATCTGATGTCCAAGATGTAATGAGATAGGTAAAATGAAGAAAAACTTGGAATGAACATGATACGAGAATGAGAGAAAATAGAAAAATAACAAAAATTTGAAAGAAATTGGAAACCAAATGGAAGAGGGCTCCTAGGAAGAGCGCCAAAGAGATGACAAGCAGACAGCTGGTCTTCGGAATCACAAATAGACTAAATATTACCCAGTAAATTAGTTACCACACAATTATGCAAATAAAAATAAACAATTGTTGAATAGTTGGGCCCGCTTTAATTTTCTGATAAATTCAGATACCCAATTTTCTTGGAATTTTTGTTACGCCATTGGTTCTACCGGATGCTATTTCAATTCAGTGCGCCGACTGGATATTGGGGATAATATAAATTTAGTACATAAGGAAGTACTGATATAATGTTACATGTTACAACCGTAAGTAGGTAGAATTTTTCGTCAGGATTTTTGGAAACAATAAATGGTATGTTAATAAGGATTTTCGCAGAATTTTTATTATAATCTTTTTGAGAAGGATTTCCGAAGTGGAAGTCGAAACGTCAAGTACTACTTAGTTAAAATTGTTTTTTACATATCGCTTCTCCAGAGCAACATCGACGCAAGTACAGATTACTAAAATGCTGGAAAATTGACTTTTAAAAATATTTTTACAGCAAAGTAAACAAAGTGAAAGTTTAAGTGAATATTTTTGAAACTGAAATTACTTTTTTTAATGGTAAATTTAGTCTAATTTTAAATGACAATCTTAGTGTTTTGATAATAAAACTTTTAGAGTCTACACAGATCTCAGAACTTTGCAGCCTCCCAGTTGCGTCATTGTTCTTCCAATGTTTTTCAAATAGTTTCTGAATCGGTTTGAGTTGGTCTACAATAGTAACATTAAAAAAATTTAAAGAAAGGTTTAGGTATATAATTTTATTGTCAGTAAATAATACAAACTACTCAAAATGATAAAAAATAACAAAAACACTACTCAGAATTACTAAAAAGTAACATTTGTTTTTTGTACACCTTTAAAAAAATTAACAAAAACATTCACAATTCAAAACAAGCTATTAAAAAAAGGTTCGTAATATTTGGGAATTATATTACTTGATAATAAATTTTCTAGGTCCCTTTTCTTATTTTCAGAGATCGGAATTTTTGAAATGTATGCAGGTCTTTTTCTAACATCTACATTATCATCTGTCCTTGTCACTCGTCTACTTTTTACGGTTATAGCATAGGCCTGATTCCAATCCACCTGTTTGTAGCTGGTTTTGTAAAAGAACCTATCACTTTCCTTCTCAAATCGAATTATTTTAATATCTGACAATTTTATTTGTTCGCCGTGTATATTTTTCTGGCAGTTGAAGCCGATGTCGTTAGCAAGCGTTTTCAAATCGATGAAGTCATTGTAACTTAATTCTTTTACTAGAAGAGGGTTTCCTTTTTTCTTTGCGTTTCTAATAATCGACACAATTTGATCGGGAACGTATATCGGTCCTGACTTTTTAGCTCTTTTCATAGCTTTTTCGATGATACTGTGGACTACATCACCTTCGTTCTGTGTATGACCTCGGATGAGATACTTGTGTGTTATGGAATTTAACTGAAACTTCTTAATTGCGTAGTAATACATTGCAAGGACAAATCTGTTTTTTTGCTGACCACCGCAGTTATCGGAATAAAGAATTATGTCAGATTGAGGATGTGTATTAGCGATTTCTTCAAGAAATGAAAGGACACATGAACCAATTTCGACTGCTCCTCTATGTCCTAGACCTTCATGCCAGAAGTAACAGGATGTCTTGTCATTGCCTATTTCTGATATCGTAAAATTAAAACAATTTAATCTTGATTTATAGTAAAAAGCTGATGTTTGTCCCATAGGTACTGGCAGGACAGCTTGTAGGTCATACATTACCAAAACTGTATTTGATCCATCTTCTTTTGCTTTTTCTTTGTCTGAAGCTTTCTCAGTTCTACTTAGTTCTTTTTCCTCTTGATGTGACTTATACTGACATTGTAATTTTTCTTTTTCTTCGTCAGGCGCGTTTTTAAATGATTCACACAAGTCGCATTGGTCTTTCTTTGGGAAAAAGAAACCAATATTGAATTGTGTATTAAATATGTAGGCGTAGGCGTCATAGTTTGCAGCAGGCTGGCCCAAATCGTCTTGTTGCTTTTTATAGTGTCTGTGCATTTCTGCAATCGATAAACCGCCATCTATAAACTCTCTTGATGTGTTAGCCCTTTGGTAATGGCTCTCTGTACGGGGTATAGAATTTATATGTGATTTTACAGACACCATCATTTCAGGGTTCATCTTTACCTGTTGACCATGTTTTCCACGTTTATCTTGCGGTACAATTCCAGACCCAGAAGCTTTTGCTTGGATAATTGTTCTAATTGATCTCTCCTTAATGCCAAAAGTGTTCATCAGGTATGTTTTGCATACACGCATTTTTTTTCCATTGTGAAGCAGATAGAAAGCACAGTTCTGTCTTCTAGGTGTTTGGATAGTTCTTATGCGGCGATAACTCAACTGAAGTGGTTCAATACAAGAAGACAAATAATCACGTTGTCTCTGCAGTGATCCTAGATTCCAATACTGCTGAAAGAAATCAGCTCTATGGTCTTCGCTAAACTTCTCTGAACACTTCTGAATGCAACGATTAGAGCAAGTAGGTCCCATTGTTTTTTTATTCACAACTTTTCCAGTTCTTGAAATATAACTTTTTCCTGAATTCTTAAGGAGTTTAGCTTTATTTTTTCGCCATTCTTCTGGATTTCTTACTCTCTTCTTACCTTTTTTGATGAGCGTACAATTTTCTGTATTATTCAGAGGACTTATTTTATTTTCAGAAAATAGACTTCTGGGTCTCTTTTTCTCTTTTATGGTAGGGGTCGAATTTGTTTCACTTTCCGACGATATATTATTTTCTGATGGTACATAGTTGTCACTATCTTCTCCAAATAAGCTGTTCTCATCATCTGAGGAATGTTGCTCATTATAGACTGTTCGAGACATTTCTCTCAAAGTGATCTTGGTTGATGAGTGGGTTTCAACAGAATATGATGTACTGGGTTGTGTTTCATAATTGTTTGAAATACGTAGATTATCTAAAAGTAATTAATAATCAATAAAAGTAATTTTGATTAAAAAAGGAAAGTACCTACCTGGTCCAAGTTCACAAGGCTTATGTAGGAACATAATATTAGGGTCTAAACTCGAGGAATTCGGACTTAAATTCACTGGCTGCAATTCTGATAAAATGACCGCATCATTGAGTGTTTCTGAAATATTATTGTCTTCCAATACTGATGGTTCCTCTGGAGTACTGTTCTCTTCTTGTAAATTGTGAGTGGCTAAATGAAGTATCAGCTCAATCCTTTTCATTATTCAAGATTATATTCGCGTTTTATTTCTTCACTGAAATACAAAAAATCTATTATATTGACTGTTTTTACACACACTATTTCACACAAATATTCAATGTTATTTGAGTTAACCATGACATAAATACTGGTTAAGTGACTATAAAATTTACTATTCAAAAACCATAACGACGTAAATGTGTACTTACGGCTTTAATCATCTAGCAAGTCGCCAGAGATATCAAATTTTCTAGGCGAACAATAACACAACTGTCCGTTACGCTGATGTTTCTCTGAGATTACACCAAAACTTTATTTTATTTTGTCACAATCTACACTTATGTCGTTGTAGAAATATAAACGAAGTGTTCCGTTCGACAGTCTTTGAACAACTGACATTTGCGGCGATTTCGTTCCAACAATATGGCAGAAAGTACATAATTTTGACAACGACGCAACTGCTTTCTAGCGGCCAATAAATGTACTACCTTTATGGTATTGTTCCATCCGATAGAATGGCACGTTCTGACTCTTTTGACACATGTAACTCAAAACTGCAAAAAATTGCACTTACGTCTTTGTTGCTCCGGAGAAGCGATATAATGATTTTTATTACAAATAATAATTGTGGCTAAATCTCATATAAACATAATATTTATATTGCAATTTATTTCCTGCAGATATGCCTAAGTTTCTTTTAACTATTTGAAAATATTCCTTAACATGAATAATCAAATTGACTGATTCACAAAGAGTCAAATTTTGGTTTTCAAAATTTTTGTAACTCAAGAAATTTACAATTTAAGCTTAAAATCCCTATCATTAAATGCGCCATATAGCGCCCCTGTAAATAAGCTTTATAAAGCGTTTTATGAATAATTACACTTTATAAAGAGCATTATAAAGCGTTTTTATAAATTACACTTGTCCGGATCACACATTAACTGCGATCGAACGAAGGTGACATTTTGGCATAAATTGGTAACACTTATTGACAGTTGCGATGTTGACAGTTGCGGTGTTGACACTTCAGATTTGTTTTTATTATTTACTATTAATTAAACTCTGTTCTTTTTAGAACAAAGTTAGTACGATTTAATTCCAAAATGTCACATAACAAGTCAAATAGTCATTGTAAATAGATGGTATATACCGTTCACAAATTGTTGAGAGCACGAAATTTGCCTTAAAGTCATAAAACCGTCGTAAAATTTGTATCATCATAGGCGTTTCTGAGGTGTTTATTCATTATCAATATTAATAACGTTTTAATACTAATATATTTAGCAAAAAACAATTAAAACTTTCACGGCTAATGTTGGTTATTATATTATATTAATAAAAATAAAAATTTAACCATTAACAATTTTGTAAATAAGAATACCCTATCTCTTTGGATATTTCAATACTAATCTTCGCGTTTAATCACTTTACTAGAAAACCTGGAATTCATATCCGAAGGTACTATTCGTTGCAAGATAATTAGGATGGAATTCCCCAGATTTTTAATAATATAATGGGTATAAAGATGCCGGCTTTGGCCACGTGCCGCCTCGTCTGTTCAGTTTATATTCGAAACTTACACTTGAAAAGGTGATTTTATTACGAACGAAAACCATTTTTTGTTTAGTACGTTTTTGATCGCATGTAATTTACGGCTCGTCGGTGTTTCCGCGTCTACGGCAGTAATTAGCGTCTCGAATATTTATTTTGCGAATTATATGCAGTGCGTGAGTGATTTTTTATTTCATATACCTACGAACATTTTGCCAAAAATGATATTCGAAGGAAAATTCATGGATTTTTTTTTTCAAAAAAGAAATACCAAACCCAAACAAAATTTTACAAGAAGTTAGAGACGACCCTGATTTGCCTCATATCGGACGAACTAAATTGTGGCAAGTTTTAAAGGTGGGAGAAATCAGACCGATCTTCACTTTTGATTGACCGGGAGGAGATAATATGTTGGAGAAGAAATTATTTAAGATCCATACGAAAATTTCGGGCTGAAGGAAGGCCAATCTTCTACCAGGATGAAACGTGGGTAAACTCAGGTCATACTCCAAAAAAAATTGGTCAGATAAAAATATATTAAGCTCCAGGCAAGCCTTTATGGAAGGTTGGTCTACTGGTATCTCCCCACCTCCTGGTAAAAGCAGTAGATTAATAATTTCTCACATTAGCAATGAAAAAGGATTTGTTAAGCATGGTTTGTTGAAATTTCAGTCCAAAATCACAAAAGACTATCACGAGGAGATGACAGCTGATGTTTTCGAAGAGTATTTTTAGCAGATGATTGAACACTTACCACCAAATTCAATTATAGTATTAGATAATGCACCTTATCATTCACGACTAGTAGAAAGACTTCCTTGCAACGACTGCGTGGAAGAAACAGGATATTCTTGACTGGCTGCGGAATAAGTATCTGCCTTACGAAGATGGAATGGTAAAAGCAGAACTTTTAAAAATTGCCCGGCAACACAAATCTAAGTTCAAGAAATACGTAATTGACAAAATGGCGGAAAGGCGAAACATCACAGTCCTTAGACTTCCACCCTACCAGTGCAAAATAACTCCAATTGAACTCATTTGGGCATAAATAAAAAGTTATGTATAGACAAAATAAGTCATATAAAATACAAGCTGTACGTGAATTGTTATACGACTCTTTACAAAATATTATAGAAAAAAAACTGGAAAGATGCAGTAAGACATGTAATAGAAGAAAAACAAAAAATGTGGGATCTTGATAACATAATTGATGCGACCGTAGAGACCCAACCGCTACTTATTAAGCTTCAACACGACTCGGATTCCGAAGTTGATCCTATTTATTTTGAATTTGAATAGTTTTCTAATCGTAATTATATAAGGTTAGTAATAGTAGTTGTAATCGTAAGTTATTAAAGGGGAAAGGCGCAAAATGTCGCCTGTCAAAATGTTCAATGTGTTTTAAATGTATCCATTTTTTTCAAATCTTGGGAAAACTAAAAAGCATTTTCGAAAAGGCAGAACGAAATATTTATTAGAATAAATAAAAAGTTTCTTTTGCATGCAATATTTTCAATTAAAAATTATACTATATTTTCTCTTTTATTTTTACTCCTGTTACATAACATATTAAAATAAACATTGTAGTTTATCAGGGACTTTCTGCCCTCAGTAATAATGTAATCTTTCATTCTGCGTTTAAATTTTTCAAAAATATTGATTAGTTTTCTCCGGTTCAAATAAATGTTTCAATCATAAACATTACGACACTATTCGGTCAGTTGTAACCAAAATACCTTCGTAATCGGATTATAAGGTTGATTGCTGTATTGTATTCCTTCAGATATAAGGTGGGTTAGTCGAAAACATCTTAAACCGTCAGTTTTAGGTTAGTTTTTACTATTATATCGTATTACCTATCCTCTCTGTATTTCAGTTCTCTAATTAGGGTTAAACTTGTAGTGGGCTATCGACAAATTGTGAACAGATTATAGCTTCATTAATTCATTATTTTGAACAGGAACGTGATAATAACGGCCCTATTCTACCATTGACTACTTTTAGGGAAGTATGTAATGTATTTTTATATGTTTATGTAGATGTTTAAAATATATATTCTTCTTTTAGCGTTTAGCTGCAACTTTAAATTTACATATTTCAACTGTGAGTTCTATCTCTAAGCTCGTAAAAACGAATGCACCTCTAACATCCCCACCCAAAGAACGTACTATGCCTAAGAAAGTTACCAACACTGAAATAATAAATACAAGCGAAATTCGTAATACAATTTACAGTATGTATGAACAAAGTAAGTATACTTTTAGTTAGATATCATAACGCGTATTAAGTTAAACAGATTTGTTTAACATGAAATTAAATTTAGTTATTTTTAGAAGAACTTATTTTCAGAAGAACATGTGACTTTGACCTCTTTATGGATTCAATTGAAGGTAAAAGAACTGTTTAGTGGTTATCGTATGTCACTCAGTATTGTACTGAAAGGGATTGGCTTTAAATGGCTAAAAGATAGTCCATAGCTTCATGTGTATAGGTTTATACTGATAACGAAACAAAGTTTTTCTAAAAAAAATATAAAATGGATAAGAAAAGTATAAGACTAAAATCTGGAAATAGAAGTATGTAATAGTGTGTAACTTATAAGCACCACACTTGTTTTACATTGTTTACAAATAATATAAAAACCATCATATATGCACAATGGTAATGTATCGATCAGAAAACTGAAACTTAAATAAAGCTGAAGAAAAAGATTGATTAACATTTCAAAGTAAATAAGTAATGAAAAAAGTGTTGAGTTTTTTTATTCTATTTACTTTTTTATACTACACAAGCGCCTCAAATTGTTTTTAACGTAAGATTATTGCGAAGTCTTGTTTTCTATTTTTAATTTTTTAAATTTATTTACATTGAATATTAATTCTTTTTGTTGTATAATCCACTTCTGCAATAATTATGTGACATATTTGATTTAAAATGAAGTCAGGATTTTTTTTGTAATTTGGCAACAGTGTCAACCTAGATCTCTGACGTAGATAATGACGTGCATCGGGATTTATAGTATAGATATAAATACATACAAATGTTTTACTGTACCACAACTTACATATATTTATACTAAATATATCTTAAATAATTATATTCTTCGAACAATAAAACACTGGAGACTTTCGTTTCCAACACTTCCACAAAATTTATTTTAAATTATTATCACTACAGCTGCTTCTGCCAGAGTCTCTTCTCAAGTATTCTTACACGCCTTATGGATTTTTTAAATGTTTATATCAATATTCTTAATTTTTATTTCCAGATATTAAATTTAGCGACCTATTTGAAACCTTGAATGTTTTAAGTGTCATTAACTTATAGCAATTTATCCTGAAGTAATCGTAGTAGTTTAATTTAATTATGTTTACAACTCTCCTTTACACGCAATCGATATCTATATCCACAGAAAATAATTATACATTGAAATTTCTTGAAACATAAAAACTATTCTCAGCAAGGATC